GTGCCCCCCAGACCCCGTGTCCCCCGATCCCGTGCCCCCCGGACCCCGTGTCCTCCCCATCCCGACCCTGTGCTCTCGCGGCCCCGCGGCCCCCTGTCCTCGCTGCACCTCCTTGACCCCTGTCCCCTCCAGGTCCCCGTCTCCGCCGTCCCATGTCCCCACTGCCCCTGTCCCCGCAGCGGCCCCCTGTCCCCGTCCCCACTCCTGTCCTGGCTGCACGTCCACTGTCCCCGGCCTCTCGTCCCAGCCCCCACGCCTTCCCCGTCACCCACCTGTGTCCTGCATCCCATTCCCATGTCCCCCCTTGCACTCATCCCTGGTGGTGACTCCCATCCTCCTCCCAGCCCACTGCCTTGTCCCCAACTCTGTTCCCTGCACCCCAACTCTACCTGACTCTCCAACTCATACCCTCGCCCAGCTCCGTCCGCTTGCCTCAGCTCCCGGCCTCCCCTAACTCCTCACTGGCCCCCCAACTTCATACTTGCTCCCCATCTCTGTATGCACCTCCCTTTCCGCCCCAGAGCTTCCCCCAGCCTCATCCCGTCCCTCCAGGTTCCCATCCCACGTGTCCCCTCTTGGTGTTGAGTCCCCTCTGGTTCTGTCTTGCCACGAGTGGGGTGTCCAGCTTGGCCCCCAGGCCTCTTCCCCGGCCCCCACTGCACTCGTCCCCGCTGTGTCTCTGGAGCTCACTCCCCAGGGCTGTGAGAAGCCAGGGCCCCCAGGGGAGCAGCTGAGTGCCTAGGAGGGGGACGTCGCTGGAGAAGGGCTGGGGCCAACCTCCTGGGTCCTCTTCCTGGCTCCTGCCCCGGCCCCCAGGCCCTCTGTCCTCCTTTAACCCGGCTGCGCACCTCTTACTGCCCACCCCTGGCGCCCACCTGGGACTGCCCACCTCAGAGCCTCTGTGTGCGCACGCGCATGCGTGTGCAAGGTGAGCACGCCAGTGGCACAGGTTGGTTTCTATGACTCCCTTGGCGAGCAGGTGCAGCATATGGACACACTGAGGTGTTACGCAGCCCTGGGCAGGTTTCTTGGGAGATCTGGGAGCATAATGACAGGACCCGCCTGGCTTCCTGCTCTCAGCTGTCCCCAGAGCACCTCAGGAGCAGACTGCTTGTCAGGGGAGGAGAGAAAGATAGGAGGGACCAGAAACTGCAGAGAAAGGAAGGCTGGCTCGTTTCCAGGGCTTTGAAAAGGCATTTTTCCTGCAGCAAAGCCTTGTGAACACTTTTCTCCACAGCAGTGAGGCTGCCATACAGGATGCGTTTTGGGAGGCAAGCGTAAATCAGAAGGAACCAGTTGACAGTTGTATTTGGTGTGAAGTCACAGGGATGTGAAAATATGCTTGCAGGGGAGGGGGGTTTGTAGCATGGGAGCCGGTCTGAGTTTTTGACCAAGCAGTTATTTTTATTTGATCAGCGGGGCCTGCAGTCTTGGATTAGTGATGCCTCTGGTTTATGAAACTCTCCGGTTCACAGGAAAGTTAAACTGCTTCTCTTTTCTGATAAGAGAACGTTAGCCTAGGCTTTCAATGCTGCTGTTTTAACACCACTTTCTATTTTTGTGTACCTTTCAAATAAGTTTGGGGAGTGCCACCATATTGATAGACACATTTTCTTCTCATAGTATTAACAGAAGTAACATTTTCATGAGCGAATTAATTTTAACCAACTACAAGTATGAGGTCAGCATTTTCTTTTGGTTTTTTTTAAAGGATAGAGGTTAAGTCTCAAATATGTGATTAGTTGCTGTATTTCCTACCTTGCTTTTTATGGAACATGTAAGGTAGGCTTCCAGTTTTCACCTCGAGCACCGCCCTTACTTTAGATGAGGTTATTTTTAAGGATCCTTTGGTGCTAACTTCACATCTTTTCCCCTGATAAGAGGCATCCAAGTTCTCAGGCAGCGCATTGATGTGAATGTGTTAGCTGATAGAGTGCAGCCAACAGTGGTAGACCATTCTTGAGATACAGGGCTTGGGTTCTGTAGACAGACAGCAGGGTCAGAAGGGAAAGGAAGTATTTCTTTTGATAAGAAGCATTTTTAACCCCTTAGCACATAGGCCATCTGCCATGAAATCTCAGGTTACAGTTATTTCAGAGAAGTTCCCTTTAAGCTTCATGAGATTAATTAGAAAGAAAGTGATGCTGAAATGGCATCATACCCAGTCCTTGTGTAAGTGCACAGATAATTGGTAGAAAAAATGTTTCTCTTAGATGTTTGAAGAAGGCAGCCTATTTGGAAATAGATACTTTTGGGGGAAAGTCTCCACAATAAAAGGAGCTGTTTATGAAGAAATTGTTAATTATAATGATTATGGACTGTTATTTGAAGGGTAATAATCTTTTCATTGTAGGGTTGGCTGTCACCTTTTGGATAGTGAACTATGAAAGATGGAGCAGAGTCCAGAAATACTGGGAAATGGTTGTTGATAGGTGTCAAAGAGTCTGACTCATTGTAGCCCTTATGGGACTTAAGAGGCATTTTTTAAAGCAACAGAACATACGTCTATTTATTTAATCAGTTGATTGGTAAAATCCATTAAAAACCTTCATTGATTTATTAGAAATGAGAAGCCTCTAATTGAATCTCTGTTGTTGTGTACTGTTGAGTCAGAACTGACCCATAGCTGAGTCTCCAACAGGTTTTTAGAGGCAGTTAATTGCAGGAAAGGAGATTGCCCGTTCTCTTTGGTGCAGCAGGTGGATTCGAACTGTGTGACTTCGGGATTGCAGCGCACCTTCTTGCCACTAGCCCACCAATGCACCCTAGAAGGAGTTTTTATATTTTCAATCCTAATTTAAAACATTAAATAAAAATATAAGATAGCGTGAAATCTCTATCACAGTCCCATGTATGACAGAAAATAAAGGAGAGAAGCTAATCATTAAAAAGCAAAACAGCCAATCTCCTTGTCACAGTCACAGTTTGAAAATACTGCCCTCTTCCAGTACACTCTTTCCCCATACGTTACATGTGCACTCGGATAACTTGACTTTTAGGTGCTATGCTCTCCTCTGCTTTGCCTAAAGAATTAGAGGTTTTGAGAGCAAAGTATGCAGTAAAATATGTGACTTCTTCAACATGGCTGTGGCTCTATGTAAAAGAAGAAGACCCATTTCTACTACATAGGTGGGTTATGGGGTTTGTTATTAGCAATATAATGAGAAAATAAATAGTATTAATTATAGATTAAGGATGTTTTAGTTGACTTAAACATTCAGATATGAGACAGGGTATTAGTAAGAAGATAAATAAGTTGGTAAGTAGTTTTCTGAGGAAGTGTATTGTCCAGGAATTTTTGGTCAGTTTTCCTAATGCAAGGAAGACTTATTTAAGGAGTTTATGCTCTAGTGGCCTGACGTCTGGGAGTGGGACTGCTCACTCCACGGCCACACCTCTGGCCTTCTCATCTGCTAGCTGCTCCACAGAAGTGCACTGTCTGGCCTCGGAAACCCAGTGAGCGTCAGCTGAGAGTCGGCTTGGGCCCCACTGCAGTGAGAGCGATTGAGTTAGTTTAACTGTACGAAAGGGAAAGGGAATTTATTGGTTATTTCACCTGCAGACTAGGCATTTTTTTCCATGTATTACTTTCTTTTAAAGCACTGTTAATCTATATGTAAGATTTTTCCTTCTTTGAAGATAATTGTTGTGTAAATACCTGTTACCTTTATTTATAACATTAAAGTATCCTCATTGAAATTTTTAGTAAAGATTTATACTTCCTTAATGAGAGAATTCACAATGTTGTTGGTTTCTTAATATTTGAATCACTGCCTTCTATACTACGGTAGAGTTTGATATGAAGAATATTTGATGTGGTATTTGATATGAAGAATATTTACTATGAACTATACCAGTGCATCTTTGACTACGTAAAGCAGCGTTTCATTTTGTTTTTAGTTTTTACATTCTCAGTAACATATCTGGAAAGCATTAAAGAGATACTTTTCAGAGAATTTTGTGGGACATTAAACATAAAGATTGTTGCAGTTTTTGTTAAAATATTTTTACTTTTCTGTACTTGAAGTGACAGGTTCTTTTTTCTTCTTTATCTTTTTTATTTGTACCTTGATCAGAATAATTTTCACTTTAAAGATTTTTAGAATTTCACAAGAAAAGATGCATTCTGCATTTGAATAAAACTTATTTTAAACATATAGTTGGATCTTATAATCATGGAAATCCTTATGTAGTAATGAAAACATTTATTTTTGTTAAGGAGACTGAATTTTAGTTATAGTGCTATTACATCTTCATATTCATTTGAATTGTATTTTGTTCTTTGTATTGGGTATGGATATGTAAACAGGATACATATGCAATTACTGGAAGTTTCAATATTTTAAAGCACTCTGAAATGTTTCTACAGGTATACTTGTCACAGAATGTAAAAAAACAGTTAACTTTTCTGTTACCAGTGTGTGATCAAGTTTTCTTAATTTTAAATAAGCATATCTGTGTTGTTTGTCAGTTTCTGACAAAACTATATGCTGTTTAATGAAAAACTATGTCAAGATCCCATTTTATTATGCTTTTCCCACTTATATAAAGAAATAATAGTGTGTGCACCACATGCAGCCCCCAGTGTTAGATCACTGATGGGGCTGTTTTTTAAATACAAGCCGGTCATCGTTTACGGGTAGTTTCCCAGGTTCTTATTTCTGGCTTATGTTTCACCTGTATCATCTTATATTCTCCTGTTGCACTGTCAGCATGACTCCTCTGTGTCGCTTAGCTGTCTCTATAGTTCTAATGGCTTGTGTCTCCCATCCTAGGCTGTACTAGGGCAGGAGCTGTGCCTTGTACACATGTTTTTTCTGAATTTCTGGCTCCTTGGTCAGCTAACTGCATTTTTAGCATGCAGGACATTGCTATTAGGAAGTAAAGGACATGTTTTTGATATTGTGTTCATGATTGGCTTCTAGAATCCAGCCTCTCCAAAGAAATGAGATGCCTAGAAATCTTACGGAAATATGGGTAGTATCTATGGACGTTATCTGGCTATGTAGGTGTTGTTATGGTGAGGTGCCTTCAGGTCGGTTCCAAGTCATAGTGACCCAGTGTACCAGAAAACAAAACTTGGCCTGTCCTACATATCTTTGGACTGCTGCTCTGCTGCAGGCCTTTGTTAACAGCTGCTGTGTCTGTCCATCTCCTGGATGGTACTCCACGTTTTCCCTAACCTTTTACTTTTTGGTGCTCTGGTAACCTATTGGGTCAGGAGTAGTGCTGCCAACTCAAAGACAAGTGGTTCAAATCTCCCAGCTACTACTCTGGAGAAAGATGGCCAATCTCCAGTACAAGATCTGAAACCTGCTAAAGGTTTAGCAGTGAATTGGTTCTGACTTGATGGCACACAATAACAACAGTCCTTCCTGATACATGTCCCAAGTATGTGAGTACAAATTTCTGTTTGCTTCTAAGGCTTCTTCTGACTTTACTATTTCTAAGACAAATTTGTTCATTTATCTGAAAGTCCATAATATATCCAATATTCACCAAACCGTAGTTTAAAGGCATTGATTCTTCAGTCCTCCTTATTCAATGTCCAGTTTTTGAATGCATTTGAGGGGATTGCAAGTACCCTAAGCTTATATTACCACGTGTGCATATTGTGTTATCTTAAACTGACATATGGTATTAAGTCAGAACTTGGTGAAAACTTTTGTCTTTTCAGTAAATATGGTATGATCAAATACAAGCACATATCAGAGATCATGTTACTGACAAAACATGTTAGTTATTGTTGTTAAGTGCCGTCCAGTCACATGCAACTCATAGTGTTCCTATGTACAAGAGCCCTAAACTCTGCTCTATCCTGTGCCAACCTTATTGTCTCTAACATGCCTATTCCCATTACCCCAGTAGCTGAATCCATCCATCTCATTGAGGGTCGTCTTTTCTTGTGCTCTGTCCCTCCACCCTGCCAAACATGATGTCCCTGTCCAAGGACTGGTCCCTCCTTGCACCATGTATGCATATGATGTGTTGTTGTTATGTTGTTATGTGCCGTCGAGTCGCTTGCGACTCATAGCGACCCTATGTACAACAGCCCTAAACTCTGCTCTGTCCTGTGGCAATCGCACTGTCTCTGACACTCCCATCCCAATTATCCCAGTCACTGAATCAATCCACCCCTGAGCCGTCCCTCCACCCTCCCAAGCATGATGTCCCTCTCCAAGGACCGGTCTCTCCTTACAACATGTCCAAAGTATGTTAGACGGAGCCTCAGAATCCTTGCCTCCAAGGAGCCACCCGGTTTAACCCTTTCCAGGACAAATCTGTTTGTTTTCGTAGCAGTCCATGGTATTCTCAGTACTCTTCTCCAGCACCACAGCTCAAAGGCATCAGTTCTCCTTCTATCCTCCTTGGTCATTGTCCAACTCTCTGATGCACAACAAGTGATTGCGAAGACCATAGCCTGTATCAGACGCACCTTAGTCTCCAGAGAGACACCACTGCTCTTCAGTACCCTGGAGAGGTCCCTAACAGCAGACTTTCCCATGGCAATGCACCTTTTAATTTCCTGGCCGCTGGTGCCAAGACTGTTGACTACAGTAAAAATGAAAAAATATTGTTAGCATTTGTCATGTCACCAAAAATAACAGACATCTCTTGTTTCTGTCTAGCACAGGGCCCCCTTTCTGGTCATGCTCCTTTGAGGAGCCGCCTCTCCTACCTTACCTCCCACAGCGTTTGGCTCAGGAGCGCTGAGTAACCCTGACTGCGCTGCATGTTTTTCAGTTGAGGATACTCAACTGGTAGACTCTTAGACCTGTGGAGCCTTTCTTAGAACGTAACTAGTATGCAGCCAAGAGAGGGAAGTCAGTTCTCTATCCTGCTGGAGCACTTTTAGCTCTCTCTGCTTATATTGATTGTTATCTTCTTAACCATTAAATTCTCTGAGACTTAATTTTCTTTATCTTATACTATTTACTTACAAAGTTCATATACACTGGTTTTCACACTGGATCTTTCCCATTTTCTTTACCCCACCCCTCCCTCTACCCGTCAAATTGCGTGACCCCTCCTACCTCTCCTCCCTCCTCTAATTTTATTCTCCCCACCCTTTGATCCTTGTACACGTTTTACTAATTATCTTTCTGTTTCAACAATAATGGTCTTATACAGTATTTGTTCTTATGGGACTGAGTTAGTTCACTTAGCATAATGCTCTACAGTCCCTTCTAAGTCAGGTGGTGATTTTCAGAATCATTATTCTTGCATGCTGCATAGTATTCCATTGTGTGAATGTATCATAATTTCTCAATCCATTCAATTGTGGCTGGATGTTTGGACTGTTTCCATGTTCTTGCGATGGTGAATAACGCTGCTGTGAACATTGGTGTACAAATCTCTGTGCCTCATACACATATTCTTGGGGTATATTTCAGGCAGTGAAATAGCTGGATCCTATGGAATATCTGTGTTCAGCTTTTTGGAGGAAGTGCCAAACTGCCAGAGTGGTTGTACCATTTTACAATCCCAACAACAGTGTATATAAGAGTTCCTATCACACCGGTGGCTCCTTGGAGGCAAGGATTCTGAGGCTCCATCTAACATACTTTGGACATGTTGTGAGGAGAGAAGACCGGTCCTTGGAGAAGGACATCATGCTTGGGAGGGTGGAGGGATGGCGCAGGAGAGGAAGGCCCTCTATGATTGATTCAGTGACTGGGATAATCGGGATGGGAGTGTCAGAGACAGTGCGATTGGCACAGGACAGAGCAGAGTTTAGGGCTGTTGTACATAGGGTCGCTATGAGTCGCAAGTGACTCGACGGCACATAACAGCAACAACAACATCACACCAAGTCCTCTCTAACATTTATTACTTGCTGCCTTGTTAACTTGCTATGGCATTATGGTTTGATTTGCAACTCTCTCCTTGCCAGTGATTTTAAGCATTTCTTCATGTGTCTGTTGGCCATCTGAATACCTTCCTCTGTGAAAAGTCTTTCCATGTCTTTTGTTTATTTTGTGATCTTGATATCAGTTATTTTCTTCTGGAGGCCCTGTAGGATTCTGTAAACTTTTGATATGAGACCCTTGTCTGAAATGTATTGCTAAGTGTTTTTTTTCCAGTTAGTAGGTTTTCTTTTCTGTTGGAAAATATTTTTGATGTGCACAGGGATTTACTCTTAAAAAGGTCCCATTCATCAATTTTATCCTCTCCAGACTGCATTTCTGGCTGTATTTGACAGTCTCTTTATACTAAACACGAGGCTGTCTAAGCTTGACCCCAGTTTGTCGCTGATCAACTTTATGGTTTTGTGCTTTACTCCCAGGTCCCTGATACACCTTGAGTTGGTTTTTGTGTATGGTGTGAGATATGGATCCAGTTTCAGCTTTCTACAGATAATAGTCCAGTTTGCCAGCACCCTTTGTTGAAGGGTTTTTCATTTCCCCATTTGATAGGTTTTATTTCCTTGTTGAAGATCAGTTGACCATAGCTAGCTGGGTCCATTTCTGGGTTCTCAATTCTGTTCTATTGG